GTGCTAATTTCACCATTTTAATTTTGCCATCATTTTGGTTTATATATTACTCATCGCACCGTAATTACATGAGAAGATAGAGGTAGGGATTAAAGCGCAACTTGGGCATTTTCAATTAATTGTGGTAGAACCCCATTACTTTAGGTTACAAACCCACATGTTGCGATACTATCCCCAACTGGAGTTGCGGTACTACCACAATTAACAAAAAATGCCCATAACATCGAAAACATTGGGGTATACCACAATTTTAGGGGATAACCCCTAACATCTATTTCCCGGCGCGTATTTTTTGTCTCTGTGATAATTTTAATTTTGAAATGTTTAAAGGCTCTTTGATGTCAACAACAACTTCCACCAATCATTAAACAAGGCTATAAACTTATACCTAGAGATCTAATTCAAAACCCGCGGTAATAAATAATTAAACGTCCTTTTGATATAAGTGATGCCAGCAGAAATAGTGCGTCTAGCACACCTTCAACCTTCGAATAAATGCGTATTTACGATTGGAAATGAGGAGGAAAATCTCTCAGATGTCCCTTCGGATGTAACTAATCTGCAATTCTGAATAAGATGACTGAAAAAAGCGCGCACGGAGAATAGGTGTTCTTGAGGACATAGGTATAGATCATTGGCCTGTGACACCGGAACTGATCTAATAATGTGATTTTGCGCTCACCTCAAGTTATGCCCACAGGAGCTGTTGAAGGGAGTGTGCTTGGCAGCCATCGTCGCCAATGTTGTTCATTATGCCTTACAATCCTCTCAATTAATTACGAAAATCCTCCAACACGTTGCCACGTTGAATTTAAATTTGTTTTTTTGAAAATAAAAAAGAAAAGAAAACAAGTTAATGAATAAGGTTTATGCTTTCAATTGGACTTGTTTAATCATGAGTTTCTTAATGTCAATCTCTTTAATTGTCGAGGACAAATTTTGCCTAATTATATTTACTGACGGCTAATTGTACACATGACTATGATCATAATCATTCACTATCATTTTTATATTTGGCAAAACTAAAAACTCCGAAATTAATCATCATCGAAGGGTCCAAAAACAATTCTCAAAAATATTATTAATTACAATTTGATTCGTTTTGAAAGATTTTAATCGTAAGAAATATTGATCTGTAAGGATTAATTAAGGTATTTCTACCAGGAGTGCCATGATAAGTGTCAACTATACAAAAATAAAGAAAGATAAGTATAATACAATCAACTATTTAAAAAAAAGAAGAAAATCACGCAAAATCGATGAATCCGAATTCAGACGTGGACCACAAATCAGCTAATAAAAAGTCGTCAATTGACTGATAAATTTACTTTAGAAAAAGTTTCACAAAAGTTTATTTAACTCGGGAAGTGGAACACGAAATAGCCCAAACCTTCGGTTAGTTCAGGACTCCCGGTTTTTTGATCATTTTCTGTAATAAATTAAACGGAAAATGTACCGAAATTGATAAAAAATTCGGGTTGATTCAGGGCCGAATGTAAAAGGTGGCCACATGGGCCGCGGCCCATGGCGGCAAATTTAGAGGGCGGCAAATTTTGTCATTTCCTTAAATTAAGGTATAAAAAACCGGATTCAGAAAAACAAATTTCAGACGAGAGAAATCGACAAAATCTCTCATTTCCTGAGAGTATAGTAATGTATAATTTTGTAGTCATTCGGTGATACAAGAGACAGCATCTTCAATAAGTCGAGTTAAGAGAGCAGTTAACGTGCAAAGTTAACATGCTATTTGGCCTGGAGCGGCGCGGCGCAGAGAGCAATGATGACTAGGACTTGAGATGAATAAGAGAAGCCCTCGGCACGGCAATCGGCATGTAAAACATATTAGCGCCTTCAAGAGTGCTTGAATACCTTACGCATTGCGTCAAACACAGTATGGTCACCAGCGGTCGACGTGAAACGCATAGCGCCTACAAGACTACATGAATACTTCACGCATTGCGTCAAACACAGTGCAGCAGCGCGAAACGCATGGCGCCTGCAAGACTGCATGAATACTTCACGCATTGCACCAAAAACAGTGTGGCGCGGCGGCGAAAGGTAAAAGTATTAAACCACATTTTTGTTTGTTCTTTCCTAATTTATTCGTGCGTTTCTTATAAATGGAAGGCCTTTTCCACAAAGAGATAGGTTTAAGGAACTTAACTTTCGCGCAAAGTTCCGTAAAATTTAGCTAGTAGTGCTGACAGGGCTTTCGCAAAAAATGTATCCGACACGAGTAAACGCGTCTTATGCAACCCTCCCCCTTCCGCACGTTCAATTGATGGTTTTTTATCGATGTTTCAAAACGAATGAAAAGGGGGCGGCAAAATACAGGCGGCCCATGAGCGGCAAATAGGTAAATCCGGTCCTGGGTTGATTCATAGGTTTCACTACACAGAAAGAAAACTCAACACGAAAGTTTGGTTAATACGAGAAGCTACACACAAAATGACCCGAGCCTCCGGTTGACTCTGGGGTTTTCCAGTCTCCTCGTTCGAATTTCAGCGCTAAATTCGCTGTAAACTGTGACAAAATCAACACAAAATTTGGGTTGGTTTGTGTTTCACTTCCTATATTAACCAAATGTAACACATGGACACAAATATTTTCATCAGTGTACCTTTATCAACCGACAGTAACGCATCAATGCAAATATTTTTCCTAGTGTAGATGTCACGAAAAAATCACTGATTATCCCCATAAAAATTACGATTTCTGTAGGTTTTTTTTTTTTTCAAAGCTTTGTTTTGCCGCCAGTAGAAACTAATCCTCAGCAATAAATCTGATAACTGCTGCAGGATTTAATCTACCAGAGTCACCGGAGAAATTGATACGACCAAGGCAACGCCGACGCACAACTCAAATCTTTTCCTAAGCAAATGAGCACTTGCCCGTGACGTGAGAAGACAGTTTTACCTTAAAGCGCAGAGGTGATTCCAAAGTTGTCCAATCATGCGTCTTCTCTCTCCATTTTCATTGAGAAGTAAATTCCACAATTTTGGTGCTCAATTTGGCAAAAACGTGTCCAGCTCCATGGCCGGCTGTCCGTTAGGTTGAGGGAACCATCATGGTCGCCAAAGTGTCCACCCACGGTTCGTGTTGCAAAATAGTGCATGGATTACCTGTCATTTTCAATCCTTTCGGTTGGAATCTTTGAACTCTATGTATTTTGTTCAAATTTTACCAAAAATTACCAGATCGGGACTATCATTTTGTCATGTTCCTGGTTGATTCTTTCCCTCTATTATCCCAGAAATGTTTCACATTTCACAATGTATTTTGTACAAAAAGGAGAACCTATGAAATTTACTATCGATGGCTGAGGAACAAAACTGAGGATGGCTGGCTATCTGCAAACTTACGATTTTGCAGGACAAAGAAGAAACCGAGCCATTTTTGTAATTTTATGGTTAGATTTGCGATTTTGTTTGACATTATAGCGTCTTTACAGCGCCACCATGCGGAATTGGAAAAAAACAAAAAAAAAAACAGCTTTCATATTTAATGCTGAAGACTGCGGCAGAGTCATTAACTCATTTTCGCCAAATTTGTCAGTTAGGCGGTTTTGTTTCTTAGCCTCGCTTTGTCACTTGACTATAAAACACTTGAAATATTTAAAAAGACATCCGGCATTTCGTGAGAGCTGATGGTGGACGATGAAAAAATTGGACGGCAAAAACTTCGAAAAATTAAACTTAGACGAGATATTTGCGAGGTTCATCTAATGGATCGAGATAGCAATTTGAAACACCTGCCAAAACCGGCGAACCGTGATTTATACGTTTATTTACAATACACTGCCGTAAAAATATCAACAAGTTCCGAATCTGAACGGAATAAATAATCGTCTCACTTCAAATTAGTGACCAGCAATTTGTCAAGTGTTGCGAGTCAAGGTTGTCAAGGATTGCCAAATATGAGGATGTTAAAAACAAATAGTACGTACTTATCTTGAAAATACACGCATATAAGATCTGACAACGGTGGAAACGATCAAGTTTAGCCTCATTATTCATCATTTAGCCGCTCTTGGTAGTAGTGTCATCTTGCTCGGTCGAGGATTATAGTTGCTTTCACCCGTTGACCGGCAGATGGTGTAGTTGATAAAAACTGCGGGATTGATTCGAAAATTATGTAGGTGTGACACGGTTCAATCGATCAAGGTGGAGTAAAAGAAATTGAAAAATGTCCTTGCAACACTAAACGACGGGACCAGAATTTGCAGAAAGATACGAAGCTTGTAAAATGTATGACATAAAACCGCTTTCGGACAAAACGTCCAGTGGCGTGGCGTGCTTCGCGATATATCGATTGATACGCCACTCAAGCCTATGGAAAAAGATCGATTATCAGGGTGTTCGCAGCGAGTACCTCAGTAATCGATTCTTTACCATAGCTTCAAATGGCGAGATATCGATAATCGATCATTCACGCCACCCCACTGAAAACGTCGCTTCCTCGGACGAAAGGACGTATCTCAGCTTCTACATGAGCCGTGTTTTCCATTTAATGTCATGCTTTCCGCGGCTTATGTGGAAAAAGAGATACGCTATTACGTTAAAGGAGCGACAAAAATTGAAATAGCAAAATTTCTCAACAGCATAGTGTTTTTAAGCTGCGGCCTGTGAATATGAATATAAAAAAACTGCAAAAAACAAACGATGGAGCATTAGATCAAATCCCTACATAACTCATTCCGTGCCTTCGTTTCGCCCTATTTAGAGTTCCAGGAGCCCCTCTTTTTTTTTTTTTTTTTTTTTTTTTTTTTTTTAATTTTGTCTCTTTTTCGGCCTTCCGCTTGTTGCTTTGCTTGTGTCCGCGGCCTTGGCCACAAGCCTCTAATTGATTTACAAACAATGGCTTTTCCGAACCATTGTCCGGAAGATTCAATCTTGCAAGAATTGGAAGAGTGCAACAGACAAATGTGAACGATGGATCTGTATTGTTAAAATTTAAAGAATAGAAATCTACAAAATAGCTCATTGAAATTTTTAGAGCTCAAATATTTCTTATCTAGAACTTTCTGCATCCCAGTGCACCTTTTCCGCTGAAGATAAAGGGCACTTAAAAAGTTGCACGCGGCGGAAGCTGAGCTGAGTGTCTTCATATTATATCTCCTAATTTTAGGGTCATTCTTCAATTTTGTTGGCTAAGTTCACCTGATACTGAGGTAAGTAATGAGGATTTTGAACTTTTTACTATTTTCATAATCAATTTTTAAAATTTTGGTTGCGTCGTGTATTAAATAGACGACTTTAAACATAAAGGGACCAGAAGCTAAAAGGTCCATTATAGTCAATGGCGGATTTCGTATCTGGAGAGCATTTACTAAATAGACACAATTTGTAAACCCTCGAAACCCTCTTTTAAATCGTCTAATTACACCGCGAAAATTAAATTTTCGTATAATTGGCAGAATGCATTTCCACAAAGGAACCACAAATTGCTTGACTTTCGCCAAACGCGACATGGGAAATTTTCCCAGCTTGCTTCGACTTCGAGCAAAGAGTCCGTTCATTCGTTGCCCACCATGAGCGACTGCGCTATGCTAGCCTTGCTGGGCCACGCTCGTTTCTACCCACAGCAACTATTTTAACTCCCAGGAGATCAAATTGCATATCCACCGAAATGCAGGAATTTCAAGGAATTTTAATTTTTTTCTTCTTATCCTCTTCCACGAACGACTAGGGCATAGCCTTGTTTGTTAGACCGATCGAGCACAATAAACTATATGAATGTCGAGGGCAAATAATCAAATCATGCATTTTCTTAAATACCTAGGCAAATAGTTACACGTTCTTACTTAGATTGACATTTTGATTTTTTATCCTAATTTTAGAGAAAATAATTCGTTGCTCCTCTCTGTAAAAATATGCAGCACGCAATAGTACATTAAACGATTTTAAGATCCTTAATGCACATTTATCATGAAATTTTCGGTACGTCATAAAACATAGAGTTTTTAAAATTTTAGAAAGGGATGTAAAAAGAAGGAACAAGGAGAGTTTCCGGATTTGAGGAGTCATTCTTGCCAAAATATTGAAAACCCGTGAAGCTATTTGCCGTAAATTTACAGCATTCCGTAAACTGTCAAAATTTAAGACTACCGGCCTAGGAATTTGATACAATGGCTCATTTGACTCATTGCCTTCGACATAAGTATTAAACATTTAAAAATCACTAAAAATAAAGTACTCGTTAAATCAATAAAATTAAGGCAATAAATTAATTTTTTCCGTAATTATATTCATTTCTTGACAATGTCTGGTTGAGGGCACCAGCGTCGTTCCCCATCTTTTGATTTCCCACTTCTATCCCTCCGCTCTCCCGTTTCTCGCACTGGAAAAAAAAAAAAAAAAAAAAAAAAAAAAAAACATTGGATATAGTCCAGACTTTTAAAAACATCGACAAGAAAAACACTCTTGATTCAATCAGATTTAAGCTTAAATCAAGAACCCAGCCTCTTAATTTGAGCGGATTTCCTTTTGATTTTAGCTTAAATCTGATTGAATCAAGAGTATTTTTTCTTGTCAATGTTTTCAAGAGTCTGAACTCTAGATCCAATGTGTTTTTTTTTCCAGGACGTTCTATACAGCCCCTCTAAAGTCTTTCACGCGTGCCTCCAGCCCTGTAACAATATCACAGGATGGATGTCTCAGAGCCACTGTCCTATTCGCCTGCCCTGCTTTACGCGCCCCTGCTGGTGGGATCCCTCTGCTTGGTGCTCAACTACGTGGTCTACTCGCGGCGCGTGGCCCAATGGCGCAAGGCGAACATCCCTTTCCTGACCCCGAGCTTCCTCATCGGGCACAAGTACTTCTGGGGCGTCGGCACCAACTCCGCAACTGTCGTCCCCCTCGATCGCATCTACCAGGAGAATAAAGACAAGGACCTTGTCGCTTTCTTCATCGCCACCATGCCTGTCGTTCTGCTTCGGAAACCAGCACTTATCAAACAGGTTAGATTGACTTAGAGTACCTGGATAAGGAGGAAATTGGCGTATATGTTATATTTAGGAGGTCACGGAGCTCTTTGTAAAGAGATGGAGAGACGCCGGCTTCCGGAGGATCTCTACCATGACAGATTCCTGTGACGTCGCAGAGCGCCCTATCGCACCGTAATAGTGGCTCATACATACATACACTGGAAAAAAAACACATCGGATCTAGAGTCCAGACTCTTGAAAACATCGACAAGAAAAAATACTCTTGATTCAATCGGATTTTTGCTTGAATCAAAACGAAATTCGCTTAAATTAAGAGGCTTGGTTCTTGATTTAAGGTAGATTCTGATTGAATCAAGAGTACTTTTTCTTGTCGATGTTTTTAAGAGTCTGGACTCTAGATCAAATGTATGTTTTTTTCCAGTGCACATACGGAGCTCTTCAGGGCCCAAAAATGTAGCAAACCCATGCACTCAGATAATCCAGAATGAATTCTTACTGCAATTATTACTAGCCGTCGTTGCAAAAATTAGTGATGCGCGTATTAGACTTTGTTTCCTGGGCACAACTAAGTATGTAGTTTTCGAAATCAAAATCTAAAAATTACGTCATATTCCAATAGCAGTTTCTCATCTCAATGACAGTTTTCTCCGAGAAATTGAGAATTTTTTTCATTCGTATTATTTTTCAGGTATTTGCGAAAAACTTCGACGAAGCGTTCAAAACGGGGTTTGCGGTATCCCACAACGAAACGATCACACCCCACATGTTGAGCCAATCTCCTGACAAAAACGTCTGGAAAGCCCAACGAAATGCGCTCTCGCCCATGTTCGTAACAACAAGGTTCAGCGGTGAGAGATTCGCCGATATCAAGAACCAGATCGCTCTTACGTGGACCCATGTTGAGGAAACACGCCTCCAAGGAAAGCCTATCAACATCAAAGAGGTTTGCATTATCACATTTCAATAGTTTCTTTACTTCGAACTTAACTGGCTCATCTCGCAAAAATGTATATATCAGCTTTTTGTAGAGCACAGTAATACTTGGATTGCATTTTGCAAAAAGGAACCACTAGCATTGCAATGTTGCTGAGATTGTGCAACTTCTTTTGTCTTGGAGGAAAAACCCGATTATCCATTAATAGTTTCTATTTTACTCGCTAAAAACTGTAAATTTAAGACAAAAATTACCATCTAAATTTCATAGTTTTTCACGATTTCCGCAATTTTATTGCAAAAGATGAAGTTGCACAATCTTAGCATCATTGCAATGCTAGTGGTTCCTTTTTGCAAAATGCAATCCAATTTTTCCTGAGAGAACTATACACAAGACCCTGCTCTCATTATTTTCAGGTGGCAGGGATCTTTTTCCAAGACACCATTTCCAACAGCTTTCTTGCTTTGGACGACAACTCGTATGTAGAGGAAGGAGAATTTCGTAATTTCCTCAAAAGTTTGGTGGAGCCAGGGTGGGGCAGACTGCTGAGCGTATTTTCCCAGATGCACCTCCAAGGAATACCAACTTTGGAGTCGTTGAAGTTCATTACTCAAAAGCACATTGAGTCTATGAGGAGTTTGCTACAGAGGCAGATAAAGCAGAGAAGTCAGACTGGTGCCCTAAGAAATGACCTCATCGACCTCCTCATCAAGCTCAAAGAACAAGACCAAGATGGTAAACTGGATTCAGGTATGGAAACGTGCAATTATTGTCGAACTGCTTTAGCTCAAGAATGACGTAAAATGAAAAATCAGCAAAGTCTGGATGTTCTAAGGTTACAGACATTTTGAGCTACCGAGGTTCGCAATAAAATATCTTTGAGGCTCTGAGGACAAATACGGTCGGAAAGAAACGAGAATAATTCAAAACGAGTCTATTTCACCGTATGTTAGGTAAAATCGAACGAACACACTTTGCTGAATGCATCAGATGGATTTGAAATCCGCCTTCAAACGCATACTTAATCAGCATAGTCCATCACGTCTTTTCACTTAATTTACAGCGGCTAGAAGCAGTTATCTACATATAATCGTTGCTCAGAAGAACTTGCGAGAACATCTGCCCTGTCTAAACATGTGGGATCTTAAAGTTTTGAAAGTTTACAGAATTTGCGAGATTTTTTTCTCATTCAGGTTTGATTCCCACTCACATTTTCCTCTATGCAAAACTTATTTTGCTTTTGATTATAAAAAAAGTCCAAGGACATGATAAATTCAAAAATTCACAAAAAGCATCAGGCAAATTGTGCTTTAAAAAGTAGATTCAAGGCATACCTGTTGCGCTCAATGTGATTTACGCGTGATTTACTTGGAAGTTTCTACGAAATATTGGATGTTTTTCTAGTTTGCAAGAAGTCCTACAGTGTAAAAATCTGTAATTTTGTAAGAGACAGCAACGGAATTTGCTAACATTTTAGGAGACTGAAGAAATAGGCTTTCTACTAAATTTTCTCCTAGTTTCCTCTTCAAAAACATGAATTCCAAGATCATGCAAGTATTTAAAATTTACAGAGACGGACGTCACGAATGAAATGCTCAGTCTCGGTTTGTCTTTCCTGCTGGGAGGTAAAATAAGTGTTGCAATAGTCGACAATATGGTGAGTTTCACCATCCACCTTTTGTCCCTCAACCCGGAATATCAGGAGCGAATAAGACGAGAAGTGGAGGAGGTCATGGAAAAACACAACACTACAGAATTCACATACGAGGTTGTTCGCGATCTTCACTTCCTCAACCAGTGTCTACACGGTGAGTCCAAAACTTAATAATCGTTTCCTCGTAGCCAGGGCCGGATTTAGGGGGTGACCACATGGGCCGCGGCCCGTGGCGGCAAAAGGGGGCGGAAATTTTGCAATTTTTTAAATGTGGGTATGAAAAAAATTGGATTCAGAAAAAATTACAAACGAGAAAAGGCGACAAAATTTCTCATTTCCAGAGAGTATAGTGAGGTTCTAATTTTGTCGTCTTTCGGTGATGCAAGAGACAGCACCTTTAATTAGTCGAGTTAAGAGAGAAACCAAACACGAAATTTGGCCTGGAACGGCGCGGTGCAGAGGGCAATGATGACGAGGACTTGAAATGAAAAGGAGAAGCGGTCAGCATGTAACACATATTAGCGCCTACAAGACTCCACGAATACTTCACGCATTGCGTCAAACTTAGTACGTCAGCAGTGGTCGACGTGAAACGCACAGTGCCTACAAGACTGCACGAATACTTCATGCATTGCGTCAAACACGACGCGGTCAGCAGCGGTCGACTTCAAACGCACAGCGCCTACTAGACTGCATGAATACTTCACGCATCGCATCAAACGCAGTGCGGTCAGCGCGGCGCGGCGCGGCGCGGCGGCAGAAGTTAAACTTACAAAACCACATTTATGTTTGTTTTTTCATAATTTTTGGTTCATTTCTTATAAATGGAAGGCCTTGTCCACATAGAGATAGGTTTACGGAACTTAACTTTCGCGCAAAGTTCCGTGAACTGTTGTTAGTAGTGTTAACAGGGCTTTCGCAAAAAAATGTTGCAAAACACAAGTAAACGCGTCTTATGCACCCCTCCCGCCTCCCCCTCCGGATCGTTCACTTGATGGTTTTTATTGATGTTTCAAGACGAATGAGAAGGGGCGGCAAAATACAGGCGGCCCATAGGCGGCAATTAGGTAAATCCGGCCCTGCTCGTAGTAAGCCTACGCTGAGACAAAAAATAGCTCTTAATTTTGGTGCCTGCTGTTGCCTGGTATCTCTATTGCATTTTGCTCTAAAAACGCAAAATGAACTGAAGTCATCACAAAATTATGGTTGGCTTGTGTTTCACCTCCTGGGTTAATCTAAAGCGGCACAAGAAAGTCAATGTATGCATATTTGTGGATTTTACTTTAGAAAATCAATCAAATATTGAATTTTTTCATAAAAACAAATGTTTAGTCATAACTTCAAAGTTAGGAAAAGTAACGAGTTAAGTAAAAAGTTAAGAAACAAGTTACGGTAAGAGTTTTCTCTCTCAGTTTCCTTCAAAAGTTGTGNGGGGGGGGGGTATTGCATCATGATTTCTTGCAAACTCATAATTGAGGACACCGCACCAAGAACAGCCTATAGGCGTATAGGTCGTTATTACGCCCATCTGCTTTTCGGATTCTACGTACACTGGACTATGCTGTGGTAGCGATAGAATATATGTAGATAGGTAACGGCTCGAGGTCGAAAAACCTTATTTTTCCGAATAAGTCAGGCCTCTGGATTGATGGGTGCAAAAACGACCTATAAACGGGCCTATAAGGTGCTAGTTACCGATGCCTTTACTCACTATCGATATTCTTTCATTTTGCGGTGTCCTCAATTGAAATAGCTTCCATACACGCTGGGCTTGTCGATTTCCTTTCACATTTTTGCAGTATGGTGAATGCATAGCGGAAGTGCGCTCCAGCTAGAATTGTACGAGTTTTTAGCAAATGGGTAATTTTTATACGAGGATTAATAATAAACAAGTGGCACGAAACAAAGCAAAAGATCATGAACTATATAATGGACCGTAGGTTGATTTAAATTTCTGACCGAACTGTTTTCTAACGCTTCCTTCAAATAAAACACAAATTAATTGAGTTGCATTAGCTCTTAAAATCAGTCATTCTCATTCTATTGATTTTGTGCTCCAATTTCTTGCGAAACTACAAACCTGATATCGAAACTTGGCTGTTTTGGAAACGCCTTCAAATGCGGTGTGACACCTCACGCATTCCGGAGAGTTCAAATAGTTGTATCATTGCGCCTTAGGAATGCGACGGAAGATTAAAATGGAAATAGCCTCCACGCACGCTGGGCTTGTCGATTTCCTTTGACATTTTTGCAGTGGTGAATGCATAGCTGAAGTGCGCTCCAGCTAGAATTGTATTTAGCAAATGGGTGGTTTTTATACGAGGATTAAAAATAAACAAGTGGTACGGAATATAACAAAAGAATATAAACTGTTCAAAACGATAATCCGGGTATCGGAACTTGGCTCTTTTGAAAACGCCTTCAAATGCGGCGTGATACCTCACGCATCCCGGAGAGTTCAAACAGTTGTATCATTGCGCCGTAAGAATGTGACGGAAGATTACAATGGAAATAGCCTTCATACACGCTAGTCTTGTCGATTTCCTTTGACATTTTAGTAGTCGTGAATGCAGCTAGCTAAAATGCGCTCCAGCCAGAAGTGTATTCAGCAAATGAGTAGTTTTTATAGGAGGATTGAAAACAAACAAATGGTAGGAAAGAAAACATAATAATAAGAGCTTTGCAAAACGATAATCCGGGTATCGGAACTTGGCTGTTTTGAAAACTCCTTCAAATGCGGCGTGATACCTCACGCATTCCGGAGAATTCAAATAGTTGTATCATTGCGCCGTAAGAATGTGACGGAAGATTACAATAATTAGTCTCTTTCTTCCTTTTTTTAACCAATTCCAAATTTGTGCAATCTCAGAAACGTCACGTCTGTACCCGAGCACCCCAGTAATAACCCGAGTGTGTACGGAGGACTTTACGCCGGCCGGCACCAACTACTTTTTCCAGAAAGGCGAGCTTATTATCGTCGACCCTTACTCCATCCACCGAGATCCAGAATACTTCGAGAACCCGGATGTGTTCGACCCGGACCGCTTCAGCCCGAAAAACAGAGACAGTAAATCAGTGGATGCTTTTCTCAGCTTCGGTAAAGGACCCCGAAAATGTCCAGGTAAGATCATCGAGGTTCATTCGACTGACAATACATAATGCAGCATTACAGCTTAATAGATCTTAGCAATACCCAATGGTGCATAACTGCATACCCGGTTTTTACTCTCTCGCATCCCCTCGCAAGTGGAGTAAGTATTGTCATCGCCCAAGAAATAAAAATGGAAATTTCATCATTCACTGGAAAAAAAACACATTGGATCTAGAGTCCAGACTCTTGAAAACATTGACAAGAAAAAATACTCTTGATTCAATCGGATTTCTACTTGAATCGAAACGAAATCCGCTTAAATGAAGAGGCTTGGTTCTTGATTTCAGCTAGATTCTGATTGAATCAAGAATACTTTTTCTTGTCGATGTTTTTAAGAGTCTGGACTCTAGATCCAATGTGTTTTTTTCCAGTGTTTCTAGGCGTTTTAAGGTCCATGGACTAGTCAACATAATCATATTTTAAAATGTGTCTCCGTTCATCCGGCGTCCCCGTAATATGTGTACAGCCACAGCTTAAAATCTTTCAGTTCAATTTCATTCAAAATAGGCATGGGAAACCATATCTATGGTCTCCTTATGAACGGCAGGTGATTTTTCTTTCTTTTAAAGTTTTTCATTTGTTAGGAAACCCGAACTACTTCATTTTGATGGTCTTTCAAGTCTCTCGGTGAAGGTATATGTCTCGTTTCCTTCGTTCCATTCAATCAAGTATATTATTCACTGGAAAAAAAAAACACATTGGATCTAGAGTCCAGACTCTTGAAAACATTGACAAGAAAAAAGACTCTTGATTCAATCTGATTCAAGCTGAAATCAAGAGGAAATCCGCTCAAATTAAAAGGCTTGGTTCTTGACTTAAGCTCAAATCTGATCGAATCAAGAGTATTTTTTCTTGTCGATGTTTATAAGAGTCTGGACTCCAGATCCAGTGTGTTTTTTTTTGCAGTGTTGCATCAAATTGATTTGTGAATTCCTCTTTCAATATCAAACAGGTAGCAACGTTGCTCTCCTGATAGCGTCGACTTTGATTGGCTCTCTGCTACACAAGTACGAAGTGAGACCACACTCTCACACGAGGCAAATGGATGCCTCGGATTTCCATCCTCGGAGTTTCGCCAACGTCCATAAGGATGACGTCCTCGTTGACGTCGTGCCCCGAGAGATTTTCGCTTATTGATTACTGATCGGAAATAAGTGCAACCTATCGCCAGTGCATTTTGTAACTTCTTAAACCGATGGAAATTGTTGCAAGTTGGTAAAAATGCATATCTGCCATTCGAATTTAATACAATCGATTAATTAGTTAAGACAGTTCGTCACGTTGAATTTTGATTGTTCCACGTGCACTTTTATGGATGGAACTCAGTATATTGTCAATTTTTAAGATTGCCACTGCCTAAAACTGCAGCTAAAGTTATAAATAATCATAAATATGTATTATTACAAATAAATAAATAAACAAACCAATATTTGTTAACTTAATACCAGTATTTTACATTTTTTGTGTACTGAGCAACGAGGATATATTACCTATGAATGAAGTAGTGGAGCTAGACACTAGACAGAGTACTTTGATAAGGAGAGTATGGCTACGAAGGCTCATGGAGACCCCTAGGGCCTAGGGCCCCAAAAAGACCGGCGATTAAAGTGAAAGATAGTGGAAACGGGCGAGAAGGGGTTGTGCCACTTACGCTAAATTTGCAGCGAAATTTAATTCAAAACCTTCAGTTGTCATCTATACTAACACTATTTTTGAGAGAAGTTTCCAGTTCCGCTGTTATTTATTACTCTGTCTAAAGCTGCCGTGCCGGCTTACTCTGCCCCCCCCCCCTCTAGAAGAAAATCGGCCGATGCGATTTCCTTTAAACTTGGCAAACGCTTAGCAATTGTCTCGAGGAGTTGATCAAAGTAATCAATTGAGTTTGTCCTCAGTTTTCGAATTTTGTATAGTGTTCGACCACAAATAGCTAATTTTGAGGATATAATTATGACAATTATAATCATGTAAAATTTACTTCGCATTTTTGAAAATGAGTCCATGTAATTTTGCAATCCTGGAGATAAAAAAATCCTCGCTTTTTCAAAAGTAGGAAACTTTTTTTTTTTTTTTTTTTTTTTTTTTTTTTTTTTTTTTTGGAGTCATTTACTTAACAACAAAGAAGAAAAACAAGAAAGCGTTTTGAGGAACGATTTGAATTTCGCCAAAATTTAGCATTTAAGCCTTCAGCGATATCAGGTATTCTTTTGAATGTGCATTTTTGTCATTGTTGCAGATGAATTTGAGAGGTCGATTTTCAAAATCGGAGAAAGTAAAGCACAAAACTCCTCCTCACGTAAAGATCCACATCGAGATTCAATATTGCAATCTCGTACTTCAACGCACAAGTAAACACTGGAAAAAAAACACATTAAATCTAGAGTCCAGACTCTTGATAACATTGACAAGAAAAAATCCTCTTGATTCAATCAAATTTTTGCTTAAATCAAAAGGAAATACGCTCAAATTAAGAGGCTTGGTTCTTAATTTGAGCAAAAATCCGATTGAATCAAGATTATCTTTTCTTGTCGATGTTTTTAAGAGTCTGGGCTCTAGATCCAATGTGTTTTTTTTCCAGTGAACTGAAATACTTAAGTAAAAATGAGACAAAGAGTATTCCACGATACAAAATTAGAAAAGAAACAAACCAGCAAGTATTCTCTCATAGTGATTATAGGTGGCGATTTGAAGGAATTCCTGCAAAGAAGTGTCGTGTTGCAGGCTCGTTTGTTCCGCCCTTTTTCCGCCCGGCGAATGGAATCCAGTGGAAACGCTGAGTATCATCGCAATACCACTTGCGTCATTACTCATTAGTGCGGTCGGGTCACGTGACAGTTAACTCCGGTATTTTCTCGACGATCCCTTTTTTCTCTAAGGAGTAATCTTCCCGAACGATTTGCAGATCCCAGGTCCAGCGGAAATGATTTTCCGCTAAAGTAGAGCGACGCGGTTCTTCTTTGTGTTGTTCGTCGCTGTTGCTTGCCCTGTGATTAGTGCTAGGGAATGGCACGACATCCGGGACCTTTTTGGGAAAATAATGAATTCTCTACCGCCGCCGTGCTAAGGATAAACACCGTATGGACATTCAAGAGTTGCCGCATTTCCTCCGATAAAAAGGTTTATTTTTGAGGAGAGTCTATGAATATTTCCCCTTGAATTTTTCAGGAACTTTTGTTGAAATTGCGAACAAAATTATCTGAAAAAAAAAACTAAAAAAAAATAAAAATTATGTGATAAAATTATCTGAAAAATTGGTCAGAGAAGGTTCTGTCGTCAGCACTATCTATTTTTTCTGTATTAGCGTAAACATATTTTTTACGATAACGTGTTGGAAAATCACAGAAATGGGGGTTTCTTGGTCTCGTCAAATGCCAGAATTTTCATTCACGTTGCTTTGCGATGAATTGATCCACCACTATGAAAATGAATAAAGAACGAACAGTAAAAAGAAACAATTATGTAAACTCCCGCCTAGCTCAGATTGCATATCCATCAAAATGAAGGCGTATTTTAATTGGCGCCCGTATTAGATAATCCCCTTTAATTCGAATTTGCCCTTGTCTTAGGATTTGAAACATAGTGTCATCTGGCACTATCTAGACAATGCGTACGATACACAATGACCCTAGAAACGGACTAGATTTATTCTATTGTACATAATTAGGACAACGAAAAACACGGGGGAAAAGTGTAATGCTTATGTGCTATAATTATTCAAGGATTCATCGCAGCAGATTTGAACTTAAAGCTTGCACACAGACTGATTTGGTGTCTTATTTGCACCAAATTTTGGCTCTTTAAAAAAAGAAGTAGGAAAGACCCTTCATGATTCTGTCGGTGCTGAGGGAGGGACACAGAATTTCTTATATTAAAGAAGTGGTGGCCAAAGGTGGATCCAGCAATTGGCACCACTAGCTTTCCTCCATTAAAACATAGGTTGAATAATCGATTCCTCCCGAGGCACCTTGTCCTCCGAAAATCGATACATTTCAATAGACTTAAATGAAGAAAAAGCAATGTTGCCGATTTGCTGAAGCCACCAATAGTGGTGGCCTCCACCCGTGAGTCCATTAATTTTACTGGCTTGATAAGACACTATTCGGTCTCCCTTACTTTTGGTCCGACTGACTTAATTCCAGTTTTTTGACCTGATTAAAGTCATCGAACGACGAGCGGTCAGCCAGCTACCGCAACGCAAGGTCGAGCAGCCGGCTCGCGTCCAGAATGATACGGAGCAAGCCCAGTGGCGTGGCGCGTGGCGTGCTTCGCGATATATCGCTGGATCTGCCATTTAAATCTATGTGTAAGGATCGATTATCAGGGCGTTCGCAGCGAGAACCTTAATAATCGATTCTTTACCACAGCTTCAATGGAGATGTTGCATGCGTGAGGAATTTGCGATTTAACTACTGGTTTTTATGTAAAAGTTCGCAAGAAACACGATGGTGCCACTGGTTTTCTCTGAAATCAACTCCCAAGCTCAAAAAAAGCTCTCAAGTTGCGGCCAAAATAGAGGGGATATCCCACGCTATCCTGAGAGTCCCCCTCTACATCAAGACGAACTCTCTATGCAAAGATAGGGAGCGAATACATTGACAGGGCTGCTACTTTATTTGTGGACTCCACAACTGAAAACACGGCAACCCTGCTAATGTATTTGCTCCCTATCTTTGCATGGAGAGTTTGCCTTGATGTAGAGGTGGACTCTCAAGATGGCGTGGGATATCCCCTCCATTTTGGCCTCAACTTGAGAGCTTTTTTTGAGCTTGGGAGTTGATGTCAGAGAAAACCAGTGGCACCATCGTGTTTCTCTCGAATTTTTACAAAATAATCAAAAGTCAAATCTCAAATTCCTCACACATGCAACATCTCTATCGGGGGAGATATCGATAATCGAAGGATCATTCACGCCTCGCCAGTGGAGCGAGCACACCGGCAGAAATGAATAACTCGCAACAGCATAGCCCAGTGAGTGTGAATCATGGTTGCATGCCTGTCTAGGGAAAAAGAAAGGGGAGCCAGGCTGGAGCGGGCACGGCCGGCGGACCCCCGACCCGGGGGTGAGGGGGGGGGGTGGCCGCGGCGCGGCGGTGCCATGGAAAGTAAGGAAGGAACAATGGAGGGGGAAGAACTAGAAGTTGCATTCCATGTCCGATGACAACCATGTGTTTCGGTATTCAGTCGGCTCCCCGCGCCTTGATCCAGTGGTCCGCTACCCCGGTGGCTGCGCGTTCCTGGCCGTTTTTTTCGTTCATCGTGTGTGTTCTGCCCCGAGTGGAGCGTGCCTTTTTTTGGGCCCGTCGTCTTGTGTTACCGTGTGTGGATACCCGTTCGTTGCTCGGATATTTTTCGCGGTCAGTGTGTGTTTCGCGAGTGTGTGTATGGAATAACTCACCCCTGCTTATGTGTAAGGATATGTTTTATATATTTCAATAAGCTTATGATGATCCTGCAAACGTTAAAACTGCTTAGAGTAAGTTTGAGTGAAGCACTGACCTCGCAGTACTGGACACTGACCGGGGTACATTGTCCTATTTGATGCTACTGTGCAACTACTGGCACTTGTAGTTCGTGTCAAATTGGGATCGCATGAGATAACTATTTAAGGTGTGTCTGAAAGGCCAGCAGTATTGCCTCAACATTCGTGCTGTGTATGGAATAACTCACCCGTCCTCATGTGTAAGGATATGTTTTATATATTTCAATAAGATTATGATGGTCCTGGTGGAAATCGTAACGTTAGAACTGTTTATAGAGTACCTAAGTTTGAGTGAAGCACTGACCTTGCAGTACTGGATACTGACCGGGATAGTAAATCGTCCTATTTGATGCTACTGTACAACTATACTGGATACATACTGCACTTGTAGTTCGTGTCAAATCGTACTTTGCACGCTGAAAAAAGAATGTCAGTGGGCACCAGATTCCTGATGGTGTATACCCTATTGTAGGTACCTGGCTATGGAATATCGCTTAACTCACGGCTGGTAAACGCAACCAAATGCATGAATAACAATGACAGACATTTAATAATGGTACAAGAATTTCAGATTTTTCGGAGATCACACATATAATCAGGAATCTGATAGCCACTATGACTTTTTTTTACATCCGAGTCCTTACTCGAAATAAGATTTACCCAATGGAGATTTTTGCACCGAAATATAATCCGATCTGTTGAGAATTTCTCGAAAAGCTCAGTGCTTTCTCTATTTTGCTCACAAGGGGGACATCGCATGTCAAAACTGACCAAGCAATCGATATCATTGCAAAACCTCTCCACGCAGGAAAACATACCTAAATCAAGAAGAATGTGTAGGTGCCTTGTATCTGGAAAAGGCACTTGCCCCTGAGTTACCTGTGGTCTTGGGTGGTATGGTTATCGTCTTAAAACCGCGAGAAAACAGTCAATTTTCTAACTTTTTTGATTTAGGGGCGATTTAGGGGCAATTTGGGAGGAGGGTCCCATGATTTTTTTGGGGGGAGGGGGGTGATTTCGGTTCTCGATCAGGGCCTTCCATAGGTGAGAAATCTGGTTAGAAAAAAAGTTCCGCTCCAAAAACCGCAATAAAGAATCAAATGACTGGACCATGTGTCTGTGACGATTAGTCATCTTTTGGGAAATCAACGCACGACAGGAAATCTGCAACGTCGCAAAGTGAGTTGCGTGGTTCTGCAGTTTTGTCGTAGATATGCTCAGATAAGAAAGTTATTTCGTTTTAATAATAAGACTAGGTCGTCTTTCAGCGCCGCACGAAGTAGGAGTTAAGATCAGATGTTTCATTCCGCCTTCAATTTCGACGATACTTCAAGCACATCCATAAAGCTCGAATAGTGGTATCAAGGAGCCTTGTGAGTTTGAGCGCCTTTTTCTGCAGTCACCTCTTGATTTTTCACATCTCAACGGTATTTTTTGCCCAAGCGTCTCACTTCAGTAGTGTCGTGAAATTGAAAAAAAAAAAAAACCCAGATACTTAAAGTCCGGGATAGTCGTCTCGTTTTGATAGAATAAAGTTGTCTCTAAGCGTAGGTAGTCGGAGTCAAGACCTGATGGTTCATTTCGCCTTCAATTTTGACGATACTTCAAGCACATCCATAGAGCACAAATAGTGGTATCAAAGAGCCTTGTGAGTTGAGCGCCTTTTTCTGTAGTCGTCTCTTGATTTTTCACATCTCAGCGGTATTTATTGCCCAAATGTCTCAGTTCATTAGTGTCGTGAAATTGAAGAAAACTAAGATAAAGTTTGTCCAACTGCCCAGAATAGTCGTCTCGTTTTAAAATAATTAAGTCGTCCATAAGTGTGGTACGGAGTCGGAGTCAAGACCAGATTTTTCATTTCGCCTTCAATTTCGACGATACTTCAAGCACATCCATAAAGCTCGAATAGTGGTATCAAAAAGCCTTGTGAGTTGAGCGCCTTTTTCTGTAGTCGCCTCTTGATTTCTTACATCTCAACGGTAATTTTTGCTCAAGTGTCTCACAATCAGTTCAGTTGTGTCGTGAAACTGAAGAAAACTAAAATAAAGTTTACCCAATTGTCCGGGATAGTCGTCTCGTTTTGATAGAATAAAGTTGTCTCTAAGCGTAGTCGGAGTCAAGACGATAGTCGGCGTAGTCGGATGTTTCATTTCGCCTTCAATTTTGACGATACCTCAAGCACATCCATAAAGCACGTATAGTGGTATCAAGGAGCCTCGTGAGTTCGAGAGCCTTTTTCTGTAATCACCTCTTGATTTTTCACACCACAACGGTATTTTTTGCCCAAGTGTCTCAGTTCAGTAGTGTCGTGCAACTAAGGATAACTAAGATAAAGTTTACCCGACTGTCGGGAATAGTCGTCTCGTTTTGATAGAAGGAGATCGTCTCTTATTGCTGGCGTTTTTGCAAACTTTAGAAATGATTTGTCACAAGGGTTTTCACGAGTGTGTGGAGAGGACATATTACTTTTTTCTTCCACTTTTCCACCTCATTTTTAGTAATCACAGGGACGGGAAGTGCTGAACATTCCTTGGAATGAAATTGGATAATCAATGTTGCCGAACATAATATGACGGCATGTTATCGCGTAATTATTGACATTTAGCGGACTTGTTTAGACGTTGTAAGACGTTTGCAAGCATTAAAGACTAATCAAGTTTTGAACTTTTGATATAACTTTTAAGTATAAGATAATTTGATCAGTTCACGGCGAAAATTTGACGCTTTTTTTATCACAATTTATGAAAATTCTCTGGGGTTGCGAGCTTTTAAAAACTTGATTGAACTTTTAACATTAGGTGAGTACAAATTATTGTAGGTTTAAAATTTTTTATCGGATTATAAAAAAAAATCTAATTAAGGTTGGATTTTCTGTAAAATAAGTAAATGAATTCCACGCAGATATAAGGCTCCAAGCTAAATAAACACGTGGAAATATTTTCCAAAGTTCGACGCAATCGTGTGTTGGATCAAACTCTGAATGCAGTTTTGTTTTGCAGCTTTTTTTAGTCAAAGTAAGTTAGAGCTGCATTACAGGACGATAGTGCAAAACTAGAATTTTGCGAAATTGTAATTAAATGAAACATTCGGGAGGAGTTCCACTTACGGAGAAAGGGGGAAAAATAAGACATTTACGAGTGCAATTATTGCACGGTGCCTCATGGTTCTGAACTTGCTGTTAAAAACATTCTCACTTGGCTGTTAATGCACGAGAGGGTCTTTATCTAGGTCATTGAATGGTATCCTCTTTTTTCTCTCGTTAATTAAATAGGTAACAAGCAAGTTTCTCCTGTGTCTTGAGTAATTGCGAGGGAATGGCGCATGTAGCACTTTCCAGAGGAAATTCGAGACTTCTAGACTCCATTTCCCGTTTGACTTGTGTGTGAAGATTTAAATCACTCAGTGTCAGGACTTGGCAGGAAATAAACATTCCGCCAATCCCTTCCATGATACTAATGTTCTATTTGTAGACAGCGTTTTTACAGTTTTACAAAACGTGATGTGGGAGAAGGGACCTTAGTCGCCAAAATTAAAAGAGAGTTTTTGATACGATAGTAGAGAGGAGTATTTTCGAGAAATTTTTGGGGCAAAAAACGATCAAAAGTGCCGAAACAAACCGAAGGCTTTGCGATTCGAACTTTGCAGATCCGTTTTCAGACAGGAAGCCGGTTAAAGTATCTAATCCACCTATTTCAGAGCATGAAATCCACGACTTACGACTTTGCACCCTCTCTGGGCACAAATAGGAGCTAAGTTGCTTGTAGGACAGTATGGAGAGAAAGTTCCTCGTCGAAAACTTTTTGATTTTTCGACCCAACCTTGAAAAAATCGCATTATTAAAATTAAACAAAATATTTCTGTGGACGGTCACCATGGAGCATAAACGTCACACATTTTTGTTTTTTTTTTTGTTTAAATTAAATACTGGTCTCGGCAATTTCCAGAAACCCAAGATAAAATTACATGGAATCCAGCGCTTACGAGTCGTAACCAATTTGATTAACTTTTACGTCTAACAAAATTGTCAAATGAAACATTCAATATGAACAATGAAAGTAGTAACTAGTGTAGATGCTGAAAAATAGTGACGGATAACGAAAATGTATATATTACCCACAGAAGCACAGAAGTACCAATTAGAATAAGTTAAGCCGAAAGTTTAAGTTTCAATACATTGTATTTCTGGGACTCAAAAGTTAAATTGAATTCAATTTAAAATTATTGTCTTTATTTTATAGTCTGTTTATAGATTTTTAAGCGATTTTATTGGTTTTCTACGTCCCTGACTTCAAAATTCCGCTTAAATGAATCTCAATGACACATTCGCCTGTTAAAGTCCAATCACTCAGAACCTAAATTTTGTTAAATTTGATTCCTCAGAAATCTAGTGCTTAATACGCATTGCTCCTGACGCTCTATTAAATGATATTAAATGAGAGACACTGCTCTGCAGTTATGTTTTCTTTTGTAATAGAAATAATTTCATAGCATCGGACAGGTAATACTTTTCTCTCGCTCCGTTTTTTTTAAAAAAATTTTCCTCGTCTGAAGTATCCGTATTTTTAAATTGTAAAAATCACAAGAATGATGTATACTCTTGTTCTTTAAAGAAAATCCGTAAGTAAAGAAAGGATAGGGTCATGTGGACTCATTCACAATTTTTGAGGTGTAAACGCATAAATTCGAAACTGGCAATCGGCCCGCGCACCGGCAAACTCAGCAGGAGGTAACATCCAAGTTTGTTGTCGGTGATCCTCTGGTGTTTGCATTACGAGCTTACTCACTTCATTAAAGGAATGTTGTCGATATGCTTGGCCTCATTTATCGCCGTTTACGCCAACGAATTATAATTAATCAAGGAAACTCAAAGCACCGTTGAATGTATACAACTCGCCTGGTGCTTTTAGCGAGAAATATTTATGAAAGTG